GAGAGAAAGCACACACTCTAAATATTCGAAAAAGTTTGTGTTTCTACTTCACTCTTTAACTTTCTCTGAGAGAGAAACAGTACGACCCGGTATAAAAATGCATCGGTTCGAGTCAAAGGTTAGAACCATGAATTCGTCGATCACACAAACAGAACATGAGTTCAGGGCGAACTGAATTTTGGTAAGAATCTGGACAATTATTCGAAAGTGAGCGTCAGTCCAATTCACATGTGGGGCATTATTGTCCAATCCAAACGTAAAGTATTTAGAAAGTTGTAAACTGTAGGTAACATTCTGATAATGGCTATATCGAAAGTTGATAACGGCAAACTGTACGTCGCGATAATGAAAATGCTTCCAATTTCTTGATCTGATATCAAATATTCTCATTGCCCACCTAGACAGGTTTCACTTTTGAGCTATAGTCCTGATGTGTCCATTCAAGTCGACTACACACAGACAATTGTTAAGCGCACCTCGTTGAAGTCATTCGGACTATGAAATAAGTTCTCTCTTCTGACTAAATCCTATAGCCTAGTAGCAAGTTATCGACTGTTAAGACGGATTAGGTGGGTCGGTAATGTTGTACTATATAAAGCAACATTAAGACCAGAAGTATTAGATATTTGTTGAACAAGGTCCTCAAATGTGCGTTTAAAAACAAAGGATAGGTTTGCAGTAGGTTAGTGTAATATAGGATGCGAGTCTTTCAGATATAGCATACACCTGAAGCAAGGCTTTCTAGAGTCGTAGGTAAACTGGTTTAGGTGGACATGGGAACGTTGCACGTGAAATGTTAGAGTTGTAGTTCCAAATTAGCTGGGTTGAACCTAGCATGTAGTAGGTTTTCAATACACATCTAGTGGTTTTCAACTGTCTACACAAATTAGTATTTCGAACTTCCTTTCTTTTTTTTTATGTGTGTCCACTTGAACAGATGAGTCCCTGTTTTTTCTTGCTTTTTTGTATTTATCTAAGCTGAATGTACAAATAAGCCATTTCTTCAAATAGTTGTCAGATTTGTCTGACAATATAATGATACACATACTGTGTTTCTCGTGTAGTGGATGCCTGTTATCACATGCTTTAGTGATTTGTTCTAACCTTTTGATGAATAAATTATTCTTTCTGTTTGTCACATCACTCATATATTTGCCCTTGTTAATTACTAACGTGTATACTTAATCATCCCTTATGCGTGTATAAGCTAGTACGTATGTGTCTGTATACCTACTTGAATCTCTTTCATGCTTATGAAGACTGAGTTACCCATTACTCTCTGAGCTGGCTATTTCTCACACTTCAGTTCACGCTCATTTCTCGTCCGTCTGCATGATCGAATGTCTGAAATATACATCCTTCAAATGCTTTCGTATTCAGCTTCTCATATCTACGTTATTAACAGGATATATCGATAAAATACATACGGAATAAATGGAATATGTGTCTCCTTAACATCAATATCATTCGATAGTATGTAGTCAGACGACGAGCCAAGACTTGAAATAATTTAGTAGTAGCGGTCTTTCTTAATCAGTTTTTATTTATTTCGAATTACTACAGATACACGAATTAGTTGAACAGATCAATCAAATGAAAGTACATCGCGAATTTTACTTGGAATTCAGCCGTGATCCACAGACCTTTATATCTCGTTGGTTAGCTAGTCAGTGTCGTGACTTTTGGGTGATGACCGATGCTACACCGGGACATCCGGAGGAAGAGCGTCATGCTGAATTCTATAACGCTCACTGGACACAAGAAGCAGTAATGCGCTACTTTTACAACAGGGTAAGCCATTATTATTCGTTTAGCTTAAGAAACAACAATATGCAATATCCCACAAACTGGCAGAGTTTTAGCGAGGGGAAGATTTATTTCTCCCTAACAGATATTACTCAACACTAATTGGTAAGCGTCTTATGACTGCAGCAGCTATGTGTAGACTTCTTACTCTGTCCCTTTCTTTCGTAAAATGTGAAGTGTTCCCCATCGGCACAGTACTTCGTTGGATAAAATGTAACCTGTTCGGTAGTGGAGCTTCAGGGTATTAGACACATAATCTGACACTAGATGTCTCAAATGCGGTTTTGTCCACTAGCTACATTGGTATCCACTCGCTGTTGTTTTTCTAGGCTAATTGGTAAAAACACTGTCTGTTTATGCCCACCGTTGGGTTAGTGTAAGGTCTGTACGCGTAAACTTAGTGCTTGTCGTCGTATGGTCACAGTAACGAGTCATAATTATGTGTCCGGTGGCATAGAATACAAAAACCCTCACCATAGTGTTTTCCTGATTAGCTGACCCCGTCTTCTAGAGGATAACATATTACGTTTACCAAGAGTATGCATTTCATGATTCATAGTAATCACTACTTACCAACACTAGATTTTTTTCAATTTGAGATAAAGCATCAATTTGTATGGGTCCTTCTTCTTAAAACAATAAATATGGCAAATATTGAAGCCTTTGATATTTCAATTTATTCTCACAATTGGATGATAGGATACAGAATTCCCGTCTGAACTTAAGACAGCAAACTCAAACTTTATGTATCTACAAAAGCCGACTTGGTAGTTCGTTTATGCTTTTCCGATGATGTTTTCATTCCCATACAAAACGAGTATTCGTTGAGATAAGGTTTAACTGCCGCTTTTATTTCACAGATTTCCCAAAGACGACAGGACTTGGAACACGCACTGGGTCTTAACAACAATTAATGCTAAGGATTAGCTGTATTCTTGTGCATTTTAAACCAATATCAAAAGAAATGTGACCACTAGTTACTGACTTCCAATAAATATTCCGATATTTGTTGTATATGTTTCTGTACTAATATATTTTAAAACCTATAATATCTATTATCTCGTCAAGTGATAAGGACTTATACTTCTTGGAATAATTTATATATTTCCTGTAATTCAGAAGTCTTCATTTCTGTGTTGCTTGAGTCACTTATTGACATGGATATACCAAGCAATTCTCTTATTGTATAAAATGCCTTTTGAAAATAGTCACACAGAGTATACAGGTTGGATACAGTGGTGAAAATAATCAGTAATAGCCTCAAAGTGAAGCTGACAGTACCATCGATGTACAACCACGAAATAGTTGGTTCGTTAAGAAATGCTTCCTAGGTCCATTAATAAATAACATGTAGCCAAAGCGCTCGTTTGAATAAACAACCTCTGCCATACCGAACTTTATTCATGAATATTAGGTTCAAGAGATACAACAGCATCGATTGCTTAAATTATCCGTAATGCCTTTATTCAGCCAAGTAGTTTGCACTTTTCTACATATTAGACCAACAACCAATGACTTTACGGACTAATGCCACATTCTGATCAACCGTCCTTAGCTTCCTTCCAAATTTCGCACTTCCAAACTACACATATCGAAGTGTGAGGCGGTTAGGCATACACAATACACGTTTCAACCATCTCAGTCCACGGAGATTTACAACTTTGCCAAGCACTCTATGCCTAATCTTAACATTGCTCGCTCGGTCATTTCAAGAAGCGTGAGCGATGCTTCGAAGATACTTATGATCAGAAACTTTTAGTCTACGAATGTCTTTACTATGACAAACTAAGTTTCACAGCCATGAAGTAGAACTACCTAACTTTTTTATCCGTAGTCCAGGTGTTAGAGTAAATCAGTCCTGAAGTAACACGTCCTATTATTGTTGCTCAAGGTGATCGGAAGACTGTGTTTTGTCAGCGTCTTCAACAAATAGAACTACGTCAACCGAACATTTTAGGTTGACGAGACATTAAGTCATTGGTTCGAACACGGCTCAACTACATCGACTCGGGCAACCAGGTAGTATCGTCAGCCTTGACACCTGCAGTGCGACTTATACCTAAATATAGAGTGAGTTAATTAAGCTTAAGTTAGATTTGACAAGCAAATCTCATGGTAGCAAAACAGTCATTTCAAGAGCTGAGGTAGCCAGTGATCCACAGTATGTTTGGCCGTTATCAGTGCATGGTGCGAGAGAAGGTTGAATATACGATCAACAAATATTCAATATTTCAGTGCAGTGGAAATGTGTTGCGTATGAAATGTAACTTTTCTGGCGATGGGGACGACAGTCGCTCTGTCCTAAGATGTCGTGATACTTTAATCAACAATCCTGCTGTCGCTTAACGAAAAGTTTGTCTTCTCTAATGGAAGATTTATCTATGGCGCTGGAGAATAGTTTCTCGCCGTGTGAGGCGAGGAAACAGCGAATGACTTTGAGTCGTGTCACCTAATTTACAGACATAACTATTACCACCCTACCACATTTTCAAATGTAGTTTGGAACAGTAGTAGCAATATCAACCCGTTAAATAAATCTAAGCGCTAGCTGCAATAAATGCAATTTTGTTTACATTCAGCCTACCAACCACATGGATGTTAGAGTATCTGAGTACAAGTGCAGTCTCCAGTTTACTAACCCTATTTTTAAGAAATGGCTGTGAAAATGATGTTTTTAAACAAAAATACTGTCGATTGGACAATAGTTTTGATGAATTCTTAAAGGTATTAATTAAACTAATACTCATTTACCTAACGGTTTCGTAATCTAGGTTGTGGTTTAATACTACGCGTATTCACAACTGTATAAACAAGCTTAAAAGAAACAGATGTCGAGTGTACGATCTGATAGCAATGAAACCAGTTTGTATTAACTGGATCTTATATGTGAGACGAAAATGCTAATATTTAACGGCAACCTAATAATCCAAAACGTAGTTTCCAATCGAATTACATTGTTAAATGGTGGCCTAGTGCTTAGGGAGTTTGATTTCCAGCCACCACGTTTCACGTTCAGACCTCGCACTACCAACTTTGGTTTGGGCAACTGAATAGCATCATTAGCCTTCACACTAAGATTGCAGCTTATATCCACGTTCATGAGGAATCAGTTGTTTTATTCAGCGTAAAATAAAACAGATGAACTCATATGTACTGCTTATTTGAAATTTCCAATTGATGTATAGGACTGCAATTAACAAATCTCTTTTAGCATATATGAACCCTGTGTGGATTGCCTCAATATTTGCATTGTCATAGGCGTTATAAAGAGATGGATGATAGCTAGCAGTTGGACGGGTTCGTCACACTTGGAACGTTTTAGCTGGATGAAATAAGAGGCTGAATATTGGGTGCTCTTAAATACATCAGAGAAATGCCAAATGGCTGTTAATACTTATGAAACATTTATAAGCTAAATTTTTCATATAATGAAAAAATAACAATTGTTCCTTAGTTACAATTTTGTAACACTTTTCTTCTTTGACGCATCATGTGAGTGTACATTGTCTTCGAACCTTTACAAAAGAGTTGTGAAGTAATGAGAGCTTACCTGGAATGTAGGTTATAAGTATAATAACCAAAGCAAACCAATAATAGAGTGAACAATTTAGAGCGTTTGGAAGATTGAAGGAATATTCTTCTGTTTCCCTCAGTCTTTTTATACCACTTACTATTAGAAGAACCTCACCCTTAATCATTGATTAGGCATGAACTTCTATGACTTACAGAAATCCCAGTTGGATACAAAACCATAAAACCTGAGTACCTTTCGAAATAAATGAATCATGAATTTTCCTTACCTTAACCAAATTAGCAGATTCAACTTGACCCTACATATATCTGCCACATAATATGAATAACGAATCATTTCAGCAATAGACCACGATATAACAATGAGTGGGACACCCAAATTATCACGTGCAACCTAAAGTATTAAGTCACACTGAAATCGCTTACTTCTGGGACTATATATAAAATTCCCCACACAACTAGTAACCGGGAAGATACCTGTAACACTGTTGTCATGACGGAAGATCTAACTAATCCTACTGCGGAATGGATTATCTACAGAAGTTAGTTTTTTTTCTCGACAAAAATACCTCAACGACAGCTAGTGATTGGAACAGGCGTAGAGAAATATCTACTTGAATACTGAACTCAAACCACTTTCTTTTGATGGATGACTCAAATATGTACAAAGATAGTATATAACCCCATCTATAAACTATTAAAATATTATATCCGAACAAACCCCATTAGCTGAAATCCATTGTATATTCCCAGATAACTTTTCTTGATATTCATTCGTACTTTTGAGGTATCATAAAGAGATTTAAAGAACCCATTAACATCTATCGTCTCAAATATTTGGCAATAGTAGTAAATTAAATAAGGCTATGTCGACGTCTCGTCATTTTAATTACTAAAAATGTATCTCAAATACATTTTACGCAAAACTACTTTCAAATGATATGGGTTCGCATGTCAGTCAGTCAGCTACAACGTAGGACCAGGCACATACATGCATCGGTCCAGGTTGCCATATCTCGTTAGCACAGCAAGATTCATGGGAGTGGCTAGGTTAAAGGTGGTAATATATAGGAGAAAGATTGCATATAAGGATACAGTACCGGAATATAGAATTAGTTAGTAGAAAGAAAGATATGAGGCGATTTTAATCTCTTAGTTTAAGGGAAGACAAGCAGTGTATGCACCGACGCCATTGTAGTCGATTCTGAGCCATGTCACCAAGAGTCTCCAGCCATCGGTTACGAAAGTCACGCGGACCCCAACCAAGTAGTCTGCATCTACCAACATGGCTCAGACTAGAGGTTAGTGTCTTCAAGCACTGATGCCACGTTTTGATTTGGCCGCCCCTAATTATCTTCCAACCATCTCTAACACCCGTTCGCATCGCATGACGTGGTAATCGGTGTTCAGGCACACGTGACCCAACCATCTCAATCGATGAAGATTCACAACCTCATTAACTGATTTACCATCATTCCTTAATACCCTGAGTCTAAACTCACTATTACTTACCCGGTGATCCCAGCAATATTTCTAAGGCATCTGTGGTCAAATACTAGTAACTTACGGGTGTCTTCTACTCTTAAAGGCCATGTTTCGTTGCCGTAAAGTAAGACAGAACGGACTGCCGCGCAGTATACTCGTCCTTTTATTGATAGACGGATATCTCGCCTTCGCCAAAGGTGACGTAAGTTGGCAAAAGCCAAACGAGCATGTGAGTTATGCTTGGCAAAATTCTTATGAAGTCCAAATAAAGGGTGAATATTCAACGTGCTGTTCCCTTTCACAAGTCACTCTAAATGACGACAAACAGTGATCTGCATCACAGATCCTTAGACAATACTTACAAAAGATTTAAGTCAAGGGGGTTTAGTATCTCAAGATGGTACTGACTGGTGAGTGGCTTGAGTCACCATAAAATGTGGCTAGTCCTTTAAGGAAAATGGTGACTAAACAAATATAACAGCGTAATCTTTTACACCCAGAGATCACGCTTTACAAACACAAACATGAACTACTTGCCAGGTAGTGCTTAAACTCGTCAAAAACAGTGAAGCATCTCAACCTTTTGTAGTTTAATGGTATCTCCTCCGGACATAATCTAGCCACTGTTCTTCGGGAAGATCGATTACAACGCAAGCTATTTGTTTCTATTATATACACTTATAGATGACTGGTAAGCACTTTGATGACGCCGGAAGTAGTAGTTAACTGACATTTCAGGGGTTTTAATTTATTACGTTGTAGAAGTATCAGGAGACGGCTGTCTTTATAACTAAATAATCAGACATTACCAAATTGATGGTTTTGGAGTAGTATTAGAATTACTTTGGAAAATATTTACACTTGAATTAGACGAGAACATAGGAGTGAAGCCTTAGCAAATTTATTTCGTCAAGTCTATCTTAAATTGTTTGCCATATATACATCTTGACTCAAGATTCAGGGATAAAAAGTGACCAACTCATTTGTGAGTGCATTGTCAGTGAAGCTAGTCCCTTCGATCCCTTATCAGAATAATTAACTCTAAGCAGAACTGGAAGATCAGTAATGTATACACTATTGGTTTCACATAAGAAGCTTTAAAAATTGCTACCGTCATCTTGTGTAGTAAAAGGGTATCCACACATTAGCAACTAGAACAAAAGTCAAGATCCCAAGCCCTGTTTCATTTAACTTAATAAAAGTCTAATTACGTTTAGCAATCTTAAATCATGGCAGCTTCGCAATCACATGGATACACATAAAATCTCGCCTGTAAAGCATACTGTCGTGAGATTTGCAGATACTTTGACCTACCGTAGACTGGTGCTGAGTGCAATAACCTTCTTCAGGATAATCTGACGATCAAAGGCACATTAATACGCAGGAGTGCACTGTATGGGTAAATGAGACGATTAGAATATAGATGATACTACGATAGAAGCAATCAGTGAGACTTTGTCATTTCAGGTTTCTGCCTTCATTATTCGTTCTAAGAATTATTTTGAATAGGATTTTTGGCGAGACTATAATTTATGGACAAACCAATCAGATACAAGATAACAAAACTTAGAATTTGGCGCAAACTTTATTCATCCATCTATCTAGATGGAGTCTTGGCATTTTAGCCGGTGTCAGTTCGTGATGAAAACGTTAAATCTAGTTCCTAACCCTAACCATCAACTGTAAATCATAATTATAACTCCTCACACTGCTTTATAACCGTCATTTAGTCCTAGTTAACAGATGGACATTCTTAGGATTACAATAACGTCGCCCAAAGGTCGTCCATGAATTATAGTCTTACAAAAAATGTTAAAGTTCACAGAAATAAGCTGGGATGAACTTCCATCATTGCTTAGTTCGATTTATTTGCGAGGTAGCAAGACTATCGTGGATACCTAGCTATAACACTGCTTCCAACCTTGGATTTGCCTAAGCGCTGTGCTGTGTCCGTCACGCTCAATGCACAATATACCATGTATAGTCAGTAAACGAATGATTAGTTCGTGAGTCTTGTATTTCAGATTTTTGATCATTTTCGTTAGAAGGATTTGGGTCCCATAATATTCTCAAACCGTCATGAACTACGTGTCTCTTTCATCGGTTTTTCGCAGTGATTTATTGGACGTGCTTGTGTTCGACCGATCTAGTGTTTCTTAACATATCTTTTCCTATTTTCAGTGTTTTACAACACTGTCATTTCTCCTTGCGTTTCCTTAGATCTTATCACCACAAAATAGGACCTCGTATCACTATTTTATGTACATCATCACAGTTCGAAGATACTCTATATTCGTGCGCTAGGTAGATGGGAAACATTTACCGGAATGGCGGTATCCGCAGCTTAACATTGTGGTGTTATATTCAAGATGGCGTTGGTCTCCGGCAAAAATTTCATTTCTTGGTTTTTAATGAGATTTTATGGGCGATAAACGTTCCTTTTATTATGAAATGTTGCAAATTGAATCGAGAAAGCTCGAAAGCAAAGTGTATTTTCGTATTTCTGCCAACTTTCGCCCATACAGTGAAGCCATATGGTACCAGTTTGAGGATGATGGAGTAATCGGCTCTGATTAACAAAATCATTGTTAATTATTTGTACAGATATTTAATAAGAAAAAGAGAATTCAGCGAAGAAAATTTTCTTTTCGACGAAATCATTTACTTTAGCTGTACATTCGTATATATAGTTAGATATGGAAAATGTATGTCTATCGAAGGATAGAATGGATTGTATCAAAAAGTGGATTCGACAATAAATAACAAATGAGGTTAACGTACTAATCAAGGGGTAAGGAAGAACAAAATTTAAGGGTCAGATAATAGTCCAATTGACAGATATGAAGAAAAACGACAAAACAACAAAGGTCATAATAATAAACTGAATGATAATCAAGAAAACTTGTAAAAATTAATAGTAATAAATGATAAGAGTTTAAAGTGCAAAACAGTAATTTAAAAATATGGATAATAATAAAAGTGCATTAAAAAGAACACCTAGAAACATACCCATTAAGGCCAGGGAAGGATCAGAGGTTGGACAAATCGTTTCTGCACGCAAAGTTCAGGCTTTAGTTTGTGGATTGCCAATGCCTCTGCGGTGCATAAAATATTGATTCGAACCCTCTTCGATCCAGTTCCTTTGACTCTGTAAACTATTTTAAACGAAGAGTCTTTTGGAGCGATATGTCCACAGTTGATTAAGTGCCCCTGTATAGAACTCGTGATTGTTTTTCGCTCCCCTTTCAAAAGCCAAGCCGGATAATGTTCCGAGATGCGTTTGGATAATGATCGCTTTGTGCGGCCTATGTAACATGCCCCACATGAGCAAATAAATTTATAGATACACATTGAAGTGGCCCAAAGCGAAAGTTTGTCCTTAACACACCCCAGAATGGTAGGTCGGCTAAAGAAGAAGATTCGAAGCTTAGCTGCGTGGAATGTTTTATTCATTGATTTCGAAATCCGTTTATTTAGGATTTCAGCAGCTGTATCTCCCTTAAATTCCATATTCATGAATAGAGTTTTTTTTCTCTACTGTCAAAGCTTTGTCATGAGGTCTAGGTACCAAGTTTCTGTCGATGAATCTCGGTGGATAACCATTTTTGATGAGGGTCTGTCGAAGATAAAACAATTCCCCATCTATTGTGTCGTCGGAACAAATTCATCTGATCCTTGAGGATAAAGAATGAATTAATTTCCTTTTTCTAATTAATGGAACCCAACTGTGGAAGTTCGTGTATTGTCCATTCCATGTGGGTTTTCTGTATATCGGTCTCTGTAATAAACCGTCAGGCATTCTTTTTAAATGGATATCAAGAAAATGAAATTCCTGGTTTTTCTCTGCTTCTAAGGTGAATTGGATTGATGGGTGACAATTATTGAAAATATTCAAGATATCATTGAGGTTGTAGTGGCATTGGACCATAACCACACAATCCTCAAAGCTGAATACGAGATTACTCAGAAAATAGATATTCAATATTTAACGCGAAGAAATACCTAACGATGGAGAAGGCGCGACTAATGAATTGAATGGACTAGAGTTGATCGAACGGCATGGCTCGGCCATGCAGGCGTGGTCTCTGCTGAATGTTACCTTATATCTTCTTTTCATATTAAATATATTGTTCTTTCTCTAACCTGACCTTGTTCTACATCATGTATTGGTAATTGATACGATACAGTGAGTTGATGTAGTCGATGGTGTGACTTCCACGTAAGATCTTATAGATTAGGCAGTCATATCATGACAAATCTACAAATTTAGGATTAGGTCTATTATTAGAGCAGTACTAATATCATAGTAGATTATAATTCTACATTGGTGAGCCCAACTAAAGAAACGCAACCCATTATTGTTAATCCTTATATCTACCTTAACCTTCTCAATCGGTTTTTATTTTTGTAAACCCAGTATTCGTATAGTCCTTTGAATAATGGTCACATATATTATCGTAATGTTATATCTATGAGTTCACATAACTTACTAGCTCAATCGATAATAAAAGTTGATCATCTATATCAACTAACTAGCTTTGATGATTCGTTAACAAGCTTTAATAGCATTTACCTGCTTCAGCGACATAGACTTGTTTAAACATCAAGCTCTAGCAAATATGACCTGTAAATAACGTAAATATACATTGACTAACAATGCAATCAAGGACTAAGTTATCTGGATCTAATTCTCAGTGTTCCTTCGCTTAACACCTCATCCTGTTTTAAACTATGCACTATCCTGTAAAATCTTTTCTTCCGACCACTGCCTGCCTAATTTCATATTCTCGAGTTCCATTGCCAAACAACAAGGATGACACTTCTCTAAAAACATACGGTGAGTTTCAGCCATAAGTTTTCTGCAATCATAAGTTCATTTTAGATGGCTCGTTCAATGGGGACCACACAACGATCTGAATTCATTCTGTTGTTCTGATCCGAGTGAGTGGCAAAAACGTCAACAACATCAAGCACCCTGGAATTAATTGCCATACTGCATGTTTTATTCTGGATACATTTGGATCATTACTACTCCTCACGAATAGTGTTATATATGTCGTTCATTGAATAATCTAATTTTCAGAAATAGTCCAGGCGAGTTCAACTATTTTACTTAATGATTTTTTGTACTTAACATGTATATATTTTTTAGTTGCTTTTGCCATATATTTGTAAGTGTCCCTAGGCTAAATGCATTATCTTCTTACGGAATGTTTATAACGCGTCATATTCCTGCCTAAAGTTTCACAACCAGTCTTAATTTTAAAATTATCTTTCTGATCATGTTCATTGTTTTCAAATTGTCATATACGTCAACAACCTGCATGTTAACCTGGCCCGTACATGCGTTGCACTATATCTTCATGTCTTCTAAATTTAGAAATCATTTGAATCACTTTTAACATTTATCAATAAACCCATCATAGTCGTTGTTGCTAATCGTATTTGGATTTATGGATTGGTTTATCATATTAGCAGCCTCAAATGCGAACATAGTTTAAATAATAACATTAAAAATTTAGGTACCATCAACTGCACTAGTAAAATAACTAAATCCCTAGGTAGCTGTTGGCTAAACAAACGTTTAAAATCAAAACTCCGTAGCCTACTAGAATTAACACTAAACGAATCTTTCTGAATTAAAATTTATAATTAAATTAGACGTCTCGGATTCTTTAACGTTACAGATTTTTGATGATTTCGAATCACCTAAAGCAACAATACCTATTTTTCCACTGACTAATCCTCATTCAACACCATGACTAGTTAAACATATTAGTTTCAGGATATCGTCATAAAGCATTGTCATGATTTGACAATCACGTAATATGATTGATAAAATTAATGAAACTATTAACAAAATCAGTCAGCAAATTGACATAAAATTATTAATAGTGTTGTTTTTCTTTTATCTTCATTCACTACAGATGATTACAGTATGTTTCTCTATCAGATGCTCACTCAGTAAATATCTCGAAACTTTGTCAGTCTAATTGGAGGTTTAGCGACACAATCATGCATGCAAATAATCAGTATAAGCAGTCGAGCAAATCTCCTGCAAACTGAAAACATCAATGTCGAATTTACTCCAACACTGACTAAGGTTCAAGCCATTATCATAGACGTGAGTTGGGAGTGTACTCCCCTTGGTTACAACTTATGTCCTCCCTGATAATCACATGAGCATCACTCACTATTTAATCATCTTGTAAAAACTTATTTAGCCAAATACATCCTGCAGCACTACATCACTTAGTAATATGACACATAGGTTTAACTAATTTCAATAACGTATAACCATTATATCTCAATTAAATCGTATTTCGCCTTATGATAAACTGCGTATTTGCAACTAACTTGTATGTATCATCAGCCGGCAAGTATAAATATAAATAAATAGTCTGTCGCAGATCAGAACATTGAGTCTAGAGCATGTCTCTTACGAATACACTCATGTTTAACGATTTGTTTCTAGTTATCTGTCCAAAATTCACATAATTATCACTCACGTATTTAAATTTTGTTTTGATAACCATTCATTTGTATTAGTAGTAATACTAAATTCTATCACGGTCAGGTAAACATAGGGTTGAGAAAATCTCCCCGTAACTAAATAAACCGTATCAAACTAACTGGAACACTAGTTGGAATTCTTCTCCACGGTAACACTTTTGTTCCTTCAGTTAGCCTACTAATACAGATGCAATTGGAAATCGACTCATATGGACAACTTACCGGCATAATCGTTATTTGATTTCATAAGTTAGACTAAAAGTAGTACTAATATTAACATTTCTACAATATTAATAACTTTAATATTTCTAAACACAAAATACTTACTACCTATACGTTAAGTTATCAACCAACGGCTATTACACACGCATCGTTTTATTATTACTATTATTATTATTGTAATCCCATTTTTTTATAGCTCAAATAATCA